TTAATGGTCTGAGGATCATTTTGAATGATATTTTGGGGTTTCCTTTTTTATAAATCTGTTCATATCCTTCGCTCATTTTTCTCACCTGTTTGCAGGAGTTCCAGAAGGACTGAGAAGCACCTCCGGGTTGACAGCGGTTTAGGTTGCAAGTATCCCTGAGCCAGGCTGTTACCCATCCACGTACTTTGTCCAGTGTCTTGTTGAACAGAAGTCCTTAGCTATGATTAATCAAATTAAACGATCGTCTGCCTCTAGGTCAGTCCTTCTGCTGTTTTCAAACGTCTTTTCTCACCCCTAAGTCACAAATATGTCCTCTGCCATTATGTTCAATTAACTCTGTGGACAACCTTTTGCTTTTGGGTCTTAAGGCCGCTTGGCGGTAAGCACATTCTTACACCCACGTGAGCGACTGGAGAACTGAAGCACAAGGAGGGCAGGTGGCTCTGGGTTGACAGTGAGTGACAGAGTTGGAATCCAGACCCAGGCTGCCTGGCCTCAGCCACTGTGTCCCTTAGGACTCTGCTCCTTCACGGAGGAGGAGCTGGGCTGGGAATCCGCCGCAGGCAGAGCTTTGAATTGCTGATCTTCCACTCAGTCCTCCCAGCAGCCCTGAGCTAGGGAAGCCCAGGCTCCCAGGACACAGTGGCCAAACCAGACCTGCCCGACTCCACCCTCTTTTGAACACTGAACGAGTCATCCCTGGCCTTGCAGGGGATTTGTTCCAGGACCCCCTCAAACACCAGAATCAGTGGGTACTGAAGACCCTTCTAGAAAATGGCATAATGACATGAGCTGGGGTTGTGGTTCAGTGGTAGGGCACTTGCCTAGCATGTGTGAGGCACTGAGTTCTATCCTCAGCACCACATAGAAATTTAAAAAACAATTATGTCCATTACAAATAAAAATATTAAAAAAGAAAGTGGTATAGTATTTGCATATGTCCTAGGCACACCCCCAGTATTCATTAAATCATCTGTAGATAACTTATAATACTTAATATAAGTGCTGTGTAAACAGGTGTTGTACTGATTTGGTTTGGGTCTGGGTATCAAACCCAGGGCCTTGCGCATGCACTCCATCCCCAGCCCCAAACAGGGGCTGTACTGTATTGTTTAGGAATAACATCAAGAAAAGAGTCTGTATGTGTACGGCTTTTTTTTTTTTTCTTGGTACCAGGGTTAAATCCAGGTGCTTAACCACTGAGCCACATCCCCAGCCCTTTTTATTTTTTATTTAGAGACAGGGTCTGCCTAAGTTGCTAAGGCTGGCTTTGTACTTGCGATCTTCCTGCCTCAGCCTCCTAAACTGCTGGGATTACAGGTGTGCACCACCACGCTCAGCCAGACACAACTTTTAAAACTTATTTTGAATCTGAGGTTGGTGGAATCTGAGTGTGCAGAGCTGAGGGTGCTGAGGGCTAAGCTCTCCTGGTGAGAACTGGGATGACCAGGGAGTTATCCTCCACTCCCTTTTCACCCCTCAGCCACCGTCAGTCTGACTACTCACTAATTCAGTATTTTTTAATATGCCCACTTGATAAAAACTCGAGATGCCCTCAAACCAATCATTGTGGGGCTTTCATGGTCACTGTGGACACGCAGCCTGGTGGAGTCTGCGATGCCACACGCAGGATCCCAGCTCCTCCAGCAAGCCGGGGCTCTGCCTCTGTATTTCAGCTGTCACCCCTTAACCAAGCGTCCTTTGCCTGGTCTTGGTAGTGTCAGGTTTCCTTTTTGTCCTTGTGTGTGTGCACATGTGATTTTGCTGTTTTTAAAGTGTCCCCCAAGTTTAGTGCCGAAGGACTGTGTAGTGCTCCCAAGGGCAAGAAGGCTGTGACACGGACTCACACACTAGATGACCTTCCTTCTGGCTGTTTAGTGCCCTCGGCTGTCACTTCAATGTGGATGAATAATGCTATATATTAAATCAGGTGTCTTTCAACAGAAACATACTTGATGGGTTGACAAAAGCAGGGTGGCTGGCAGGACCCTCATTCTGTACTTCTCCCTGGGAGCACTATTTCGGTATTTGCTGATTCAGTATTCACCATGGCTAGATTCCTGTGACTGACAGACTTGACGCCCTTGGATGGTACTGCACTCCTCTGCGGATCCACGACAGCTCTTCATCTGTTGGCAGCCACACCGTCACCTTGACAGTGGATTACTACAGGGGGCCCCAGGTTCACCTCCCAGCTCCCCCATCACCTCACCCAGCAGCCAGAGAGAGGGCGCATCTCAGGTAAGACTCGTCCCCTGTTCATTGCTCCTCAGGGCTTCCCCAGCACACCCGAATAAAGAGGAGCTCTTCTAACGTGGCCTAAAAACGTCCTGCACACATGCCTCCAGCTGGATCCTCCAATCTCATTCTAAAACTCAGACTCGGTTTCTCCTCTGAGCTCACGCGGCAGCAACCAACACTTGTCACTTCTGTGACTCCAAAAGGTGTGGTGTTTCTCCCCACCAGCAAGTCAGCCGGGTGTCCTCTAACCCAACTCAGTTCTGACGCATGGAGCTGCAGGAGGTCGCCTCTCTTCTCCCTGCAGACAGGGTTAGATCCCATAAATTAAGAGCTCAGGTCCCCAAACTGCCCCCCACCCGCTGCTGGCCTTTTACCAACAGGCTGTGAATCGGGGTTCCCACAACCCCTTCCTGACATCCAATTGATTTGTTAGAGTAGCTCAGAAAACTCAAGGAAGCACATTTACCAGTTGATTGCCAAGGTTACAAATATGTATTTTGGTACCGGGGATTGAACTCGGGGGCACTCGACCACTGAGCCACATCCCCAGCCCTATTTTGTATTTCACTTAGAGACAGGGTCTCACTGAGTTGCTTAGCGCCTTGTTTTTTGGCTGAGGCTGGCTTTGAACTGGCGATCCTCCTGCCTCAGCCTCCTGAGCTGCTGGGATTACAGGCGTGCGCCACCGCGCCCGGCTACAAAGAATATTTTAAAGGATACAAATAAACAAGCAGCCGGATGAAGAGATGCTCAGGGCGAGGTCTGGAAGGGCCCCAGCTCAGGTGCTCTGTCCCTTGAGTTGGGGTGCACCCCAGTGGCACCCCGATGTGCTCTTGTTCACCCTCCTGGGTGTGCTCAGCCACTGCAAGCTCTGCGTCCAATCTGTTTCCTTGTTTTTGTTTGGGTTGCTCATTACACAGGCATGATGGATCAGCGCAGCCACTGTGACCCACTGAGACCTCAGCCCTCGCCCCTCCCTGGAACTTCAGCCTTTAAAGCAGGTGGCTGATCCCCGGGCAACCAGCCCCCCACCCCCAATGGTTTTCTAGGGACTTTCCCAAACTCTCCTCTTGACCTAAGTTCAGCTGTGCTTTGGAAGGACTAGTGGAGAGCACAGGCATGTCCTTTATATTGGTGACTCTGAAGCTGGTCTGGGGCAGCTTCAGGAACCAAGGACAAACAGTCAAATGCTTTAACAAAGACATTCTATTTCTCTAGTGACGCAGGAAATAACAGGTCCCGGGAGCCGTGAGCCAGGAGCCAGGGGCAAAAGCCAAAGGAAATATGATGATGATATCCCGTCACTCCCCCGCCTTCCCTCAGTCCCAGGACAGGCTAACCCCCACCCTCAGGGACTTGCCTGGCAGCTCCCTCTTTCGGAGGAGGCGGTCCCCAGCAGCTGCCTCCTCCGAGAGGCCCTCCTGGACCACCTATTCTCTAACACGAAACCCTGTTTATGTCCTTCATGGAAACAAACAGAGATCACTGCAGTCTGTGACCGCATTTGTAGCTTTATTTTCTGTAAATTCCCCGAAGGCCAGGCCTATTTACAGTTGGCTGTTCCAAACAAACTCCCTGACCCGGCCCCCATGCTCCCCGCACTCAGGCCCGGTCTGAGGGTCTCTCTGACTCTCTCCTGCGCACACTCCCGGGCTCAATGTCAGGTGCCTCCAACAATCCCACCAAGCAGAACTCCGCTCGGCTCCTCTAAGGCCATCACTCTGCTGCAGGATTCGTCACCTCCAGCCTAGGCGGTCAGGGGCACTTCCTCACGGGGCTTCCTCTAGCCTCCTGAGCCTGTTCCCCACACAGCAGCCAGAGAGATCCAGTCCACACCCAGGTCAGCTCACAGCCCTTCCCTGCTCAGAGCCCTCCCTGGGGGCCCAGTTTACTCAGGGTCAAAGCCAAGTCTCCCTGTGGCCCACAAGACCCCAAGCAGCCCCATTCCCTCCACCCTTGCCTGGCTCTCTCTCCTCCTTGCTCATGGTGGCTGCAGCCACACCAGCCTCCTCACTGATCTTCAGGCACACTACATAGGCTGCTGCCTCAAGGCCTTTGCACCTGCTGTGCCTGCAGCTTGGCATGCTGCTCCTCAGATATGCCACCGGCTCCTGTTTTTGAATGTTACCCTCTCAGACCCTCCTCCCTGACCATCCTGTTCAAAACAGCCTCTCTAGCCCAGTCCCCTCTCCAACCCAGCGTTCCCTATCCCTCCTCCCTGCTTCCTTCCATTATTTATTTTTCTGGTCATTGCTTAAATTATCACTTGACAGCTTATTTTTATGCTCTTCGTTTTTTATGGTTTCTCCCCATGAACATAAGCTCTACAAGTGCAGAAGTTTGTGTCTGTTCACTTCAGGGCTTATCACCTGTGCCTGCTCCCGTGCGTGACTCATAATAGGCACCAGTATTTGCTGAATAAATAACAAAGTTGTGCTTCCCAACACTCGGGAGAATCCTGGCATGTGGTTGGCACTGAATAAGAAAAATAAATGCTCCTAACTTTTTCTTGGGCGCTCTGCAGATGGGAGGAGTTGTACATCTGAAAGTAGTATTTATATGGAAATAATAATAGTGGTGAGCGTTCAACACACACGTTTCTAACAATGCTAGGAGGAGGAATTAAGAGCCCACTTTACAGATGAGAACACAAAGAGGCTCCGAGTTTCACGACTTGGGGGATCGCATTAAGCAGACTCCAGGAGCTGAATACGGAGCCCCTGCACGTTTGAGGTCACGGCAACGACAGAAAAACAAGGGACATTGACCACAGATGTTCTCGGGGGAAACTCAAGACAGAGATGCAGGACAGAAAACTCGGTGGCCCAGCACACTGGCCCTTGGGGATACTGAACCCATCACTGTGGAGGTTGGTGTGCCATTGATCCTTAGTGGGGACAGGGATTCAGAGAGAGGGGACGTTGGCATGGGCGGGCATTCAGAACGGAGGTGGGGGGGGGTCGGGTTAGGACGTCTGTGAGGCCCAGGGCAGGTGAGTGACCATTCTGAGGATCCCGAGTTAGCTGGACGAGCCACTCAGGGGCGCCCAGAGTGTTGTCAGGGATGAAGATTCTGGGCAGAAGGGATTTTCAGGAAGAAATCTCGTGGGAGTCGGCACCTCCTTGAGTGTGGGGCGGCGGGACCTGCTGCCCTGGCACTGAGTGAACACTCTAGGGTCAAGGGCGGGTCAAGGGGGTCTGTTCGCGGGCGGAGGGATTTACAGATGTTGCCGCAGGCAGAGCGCACAGGGGTCCACCTGGGGGCCTCAGTGACCTGGGAGACCCGGGGTGCTATCCCAGTGCGAGTCATTAGAGTCTGTCCGGGGTGCAGTATCTGGGAGGCCGCATGGCTGGCCGTTGAGGGGTCCTGAAACCTGGCCCTTCAGGTACATTTTGAGAACAGGGACCAGTGGTTCAGATGCCGCACTCCGGGCAGAAGGGACAGAGGTGGGCTGAGCAAGGTGGGGGGCGTGGCGGGAGGAGGACAGGTAGCTCCGTCCAGCGGCTACTGAGCGCCCTTGGTCCCCTTCTGCTCCTGGCTTCTGGGTTCCCCGATTGTTTCACGGATCCACTGGACGTACTTGGAGACGCGGGTGTAGACGCCAGGCCGGTTGGGCTGTCCGCAGGGGAAGTCTCCCCAGGAGATGATGCCGTGGAGCGTGTGGTTGCAGACCAGGGGACCCCCGGAGTCGCCCTGAGGGGGTAGAAGAAACAGGGTTGTGGCTAGGGCCACACGAAGGCAGAGATGGGGGAGAGTGGAAGACGGAGAGACACGCAGAGACCGGGAGTCAGAGACAGAGCCAGACACAGAGAAGGCAAGACACTGAGAAAGAGAAGTCAGCAAGGGGCGCAGGCAGACAGTGGGAAGAAGACTACAAAGAAAGATCCCGAGACAGAGAGATAGGGACAGAGATCGGTGTCTGCATTTCTGTTTTTCTCTATTCTTTATTCTTATTAAAAGGGGATGCTAAGTGTGGTGACAAACGCCTGTAATCCCAGCAGCTAGGGAGGCTGATGCAGGAGGATCACAATTTCAAAGCCAGCCTCAGCAACTTAGTGAGGCCCTAAGCAACTCAGCAAGACCCTATCTCTAAATTATATATATATATATATATATATATATATATATATATAATTTTTTTAAGAGAGAATTTTTTAATATTTATTTTTTAGTTTTCAGCGGACACAACATCTTTGTTTGTATGTGGTGTTGAGAATCGAACCTGGGCCGCACGCATGCCAGGCGAGCTCACTACTGCTTGAGCCACATCCCCAGCCCAAAATATTTGTAAAAAGGGCTGGGGATGTGTCTCAGTGGTTAAGCACCCCTGGGTTCAATCTCTGGTACCCTCCCCCGCCAAAAAAATGGAGACAGCTTATATCTTTCTCGGTGCCCTGGCACCAGCTCAGCTGCTTTGTGCCATGTCCCTACTGACTTAGCACAGTCAGGCATGACAGGGTATGCCACACCCATGCACCTCCACCTGGCGCCCAAGCAGACATTACTAATGCAACAAGGCTCACGCCATTCATTCACCATCATACCCTTCCCCACTGAACCAAAACTCTCTCAGCAGCCTCTCTATGGGCACAGTTTTGAAATAATCCAGAATGGCTACTCTGATCTTTCTTGATAAGGTAAATGGAGAACCAGGCAGCCGTGTGGCGCTGAAGGGTGGGCAGAAGCTGGGGTCTGGGCCTGCGTCAGAGCCTTAGAGGGGAGATCTCAGGTTTCAACGCCACAGATTGGTGAAATATTTGACGTTTTTACCTAAAATTCCCAGGGAAGCTTTGGGAACTGCCAACAGAGCTACAGTCAAGACTAACAGACTCTCGGACAAGAGCAACCTAGCTTCTCTGCCAAAACGATGACTAAGAAGACTAGAAAGTCAAAAGCCTTGGATGACACCAGTCCAGAAACAGAAAGCTTCTCTCCCTTGTCTTGACGTGCCTGGAGGGCAGCAGGCTGCACCCCCACCCTCTTGATGCCTAGGAGGGGAGAGGACTTGGGAACTTGCAGCGGGCCCTTCACCCACCGTGGCACCTAACCTGCTGCTGTCCCCCTCAAGTGCTCGGTTGACTCTGCCACCAGTATGCCATGACCTGGATATTTAAATTTCTTAGTGCTTTACAGTCTGAGCATGTTGGTATTAACAAAGCATTTCTTTGTTAAAAGAAGAAGGAAGAGAAGGAGGAGGAGGAGGAGGAGGAGGAGGAGGAGCCGCCTCTCTATTGTTCTGCCTGCCCCTGGTATCTCTTTCCCTTGGTTTAGCAACAGCCTCCTGACTTTTGTGTGGGAGCTCCCCCATTCTCTCTCAACCCAGGCCACTGGCCCCCAGTCCTCTCTGGCTCCCACAGCGCAGCCAGGGCAATGGTTCAGGACACATGACAGGTCAGCCTAGTGAGAATGGTGCCCAAGACACTTGTTTCAGCTATTGGAAAAGAGGTGTTCTCTCGGTCCAACAGGGTTCTTAAGAGGGTAGGTGCAAGCCCTAAGCTGCTGGGCTGTCCCGCGTTGCAGGGAAAGCACTGGCTGAGAATGAGGTCCAAACAGAAGAGAAAAGCTAGAGAGAGACAGAGTTCCCAAAACATGCTCTGAACACCTGGATATATCTGTGCCTGAAGGCAGCCACTTCTGGATTTTCAATGTCAAAAATCCAGGGTTTTGTTGTTTTGCTGAAGCCATTGGGAGCTGTGTTTCTGTCACAATTGGAATAATCTCAACCTTCATGCATCTTGATGCAGGGACCTGGGCAGCTCCTTGGTCAAAGCTGAAGCTTGAGATGAATTCTATGTGCCGTCCCTGGGTACCTTTAGTCCTGACACCCTTAAGCTAGAGGTCATCTCGCCTCACAAGGACAGGTTTCCCCAAGGTCGGGAGCAGACCCTTCCCCCACACCTGCCCCAGCTCCACTTCCCATCCTGGCCGGGCACCCCCAGCCCCTGGTCTCACCTCACAGGAGTCCTTCCCGCCCTCTGGGGTGCCGGCGCACAGCATGTTGGCCGTGATCTTCCCTGGGTAGACCTGGTGACACTCCTCATCCGAGCGCAGCTGGATGTTGGCGCACTGTAGGGTTTGGGGGTAGCTCACTGAGGAGGAGAGAGACAGTCTGAGTGTTCTGGGTGGAAATGGGGTGGAGGCTGCCGAGGAGAGCCACAGGGGCCAAGAGGTGGTGGGGAGTGGAGGTGGGAGGGGAAGAGGTGGGGCCTGTGCCCAGGGAGCCCCACAGAAAGAGGGGAGATGCAGTAGAGAGGTGGGGGGAGGAAGGGGAGGACTGGGGGGGGGAGGAGGGGGAGGCAGTGATGGTACCTGTGGGGAAGACGCCAAAATTCGAGGGGACACTGCCCCAGAGACCCAGTGCCCTGTGGATTGTGCTATGCTATTCATACATATAAGGATGTCTAATTTATATTTTATTGCATTTACTAAATGCATGCTTATTAATATATCAAAAGTATTTTGCGAATTATAAAAATACATGTTACTTATTATTATAAAACATATAATTATGTATTTATGATTTAAATGTATTGTAAAATATAAATTCATTTATAATTATGTATTCAAACATAATTTATATATTTAAATATATAACATTTATAAACTTTACTCAACCTATGGGACATAAATTATAACTTGACAACATATATTTATAAGAACATATTACTATATTAGACAATATATTTATATTTTTGTATATATTCACATATATATATAACATGTCCCTTTGTAATTATTTACATTTTTATACATAAAGGGTCTCTCCTCCGCCCTTCCCTCATGGTGGCCCGGCTTCCCCAGCCACTCCTGTGGGTCACAGGCCCAGTGTGGACGTACCCTGGGGGCTGGTGGTGGTGCCCCAGCCGGACACCCGGCAGCAGGTGCCAGGGGGCAGGCAGTCGACTTGGGAAAGGGGCAAGGTGCGGATGTGGTCGGTGAGCTGGACCTCGGACTGTAGCTCCAGCAGCATGATGTCGTGGTCATGGTTCAGGTGGGTGGGGCTGACCAGGTATTCAGGATGGGGGACAGAGCGGACCACCTCCCGCACCTGCTGGCCGGTCTCCACGCGCCCTAAGGCGTGCTTGCCCAGGTGAACTCTGTACCCACTGCGGGCGCAGGAAGGAGTGGTTAGGGGACAGCATGAGCCTTCTCCATGCCCAGCCCCATCTCTTCCCCAACCCTTCTCGCCCTCCCTGCCCCCACCTTTCTGTCTCCAAACACATCCTCAGCTCCAGCCCCGCCCACTCTTCCTGGGCGGTCATCCTGCACCCTCCACATCTCCCAGCCAACCTCATTCTCACCCCCAAGCCCTAACTCCAGCCTTGCCATTAAATCCAACTCCTGACCACCGGCCACCCCAGTCCCGTTCTCGTGTCCACCCCACGCTCCCAGGTCCCACATACTCTTTCCGGCAGTGTGCTGCCGTGAGCACCCATCGGGGGTGGACCAGGACTCCCCCGCAGAGCAGCCGTCCTCGCACGAGCAGGGCAGCCTGCCAGGGCTGGGAGTGGGGGAGGCAGGTGTAGCCCCCGGGGAGAAACCCACTGGTCCCGTTGGTGCTGTTGAGGATCTTGGGCGACTCCCGGGAGATGCCTGGGGGAGAAGAGAGATTGTTAGAGAACTGGGGTCCCAGGGGGAGACGAGGCCGAGGCGGAGGTTCCTGGGCTTGGGGAAGAAGTCAGGCTGCTGTTCTGGGTGATGAGGAACTGACGGTTCAGTTTTTGGTCTGTAGGAGTTGACATGTCCTACCTGGTGGATAGGAATCAGGGCAAACGTTTCTTCTTCTTTTTAAAAAATATTTTTATTAGTTATTGATGGACCTTTTATTTATTTATTTAATTGCTTATATGTGATGCTGAGAATGGAACCCAGTGCCTCACATATGCTAGGCAAGCGCTCTACCACGGAGCCACACCCCCAGCCCGGTTTCTTCTTCTTCTTCTTTTTTTTTTACAGATGTGGCAAATCATCCAGTCGGGGGGGTGAAAGAAGATTTCATGGAATGAGAATGTTTCTTTTAGGTCAGCAAAGCCTGACCTCTCCACCTGTCTTATCATTACCCCCAGGGATGGAGAAGGTGGAAGAGAGGCTGACCTCCCAGGCAGCGTCCATCCATCCATCCATCATCCATCCATCTTTTTGACAGGTATTTACTGGGTGTCTCTGAGGCAAACCACTCATGAATTCACATCTCCAGCTCCAAGCTCTTCCCTAAGGTAGAAACTCGAATGCTAACAACTCCTGAGCTTTATATTCATCTTAAACCTTGTGTCCCCAACTTGATTTTTCTCAACCAAAACTGTTCCTTCCCATCTTTCCCACCCTTTGGGGGATATCATAGGCAATGCCTGGGGTCCAGATGGGGCAACATTAGACCAGGTGGCCTGAGAAGACCTCTCTGAAGAGGTGACATTTGAGCTGGGCTCTCAAGATCAAGGACCAGACATGTGTCTTCTAGATTCTGAACTCCTCAACGCTCAGCCCCAAACTTGGGACTCATCTTTGCTTCCCCTTTTTCCTTCGTCCCTCACCTCCAACAAGTTCTGTTGGTTTTATCTCCAAAATATCCAGTTTTCTCCAACTCCCTGCCACCATCTTGGTCCAAGCGCCAGCTTCTCCAGCCCGAACAATTCCAACAGTCCTAAAAGCTGCCACTTTGGCGTCTCTCCAGTCCAGCCTAGGGAGTCTCCAACAAGGAATGTCAGGCCATGTCATTACCAGGCTCGACTTCTTTGAAGTAAAATCCAAAAACCTGGCCAAGATTTGGAGGCTCCTGCTCCATCTGGCCCTCGCCAGCCTCTCTGTCCATCCCTGCCTCTCTGCTCTTGGATCCCTCCACTCCGGCCTCATGCACCCGTTCTTCAAGCACCCCAGACCTCATCCCTGCTGTTTCCTCTTTCTAGACAGTGCTTTATCTGTAACTGTGCTGTTCAAGATAGTAGCCACTAGCCATTTGTGAGTATTTAGATTTAAATTAATGAAAATGAAGTGAAAGGCTGGGGCTGAAGCTCAGCAGTAGAGCACTTGCCTCTGTGTGAGGCCCTGGGTTCCATCCCCAGGAGCACACACACAAGAAACAATGAAAAATCCAGTTCTTCAGTGATGTCAGCCACATGTTCAACTGCCCAAGTGGCCAGTGGCTATCGTATTGGGCAGTTCAGATAAAGGCCATGTTAATATTCTACCAGACAGGGCTCAGAATCTAGAAGTCACATATCGGGTCCTTGATTTTGAGAGCTCAGTTCAAATGTCACCTCTTCAGAGAGGTTTTCTCAGGCTACCTGGTCTAATGTCACCCCATCTGGACCCCAGGCATTCACTATGACACCCCCCCCAATGATTTTCATTAGAGCAATGATCGCTATGCATTTCTCTTTATATTTGCTTGTGTTTACATTTCTTTTTAGAAATATCTCTACCTAAACTGTAAGCTCCTTTGACTACAGGCACCTTAACTACTTTATCCAGAGGTGCATCCCTAGGGTCTAGCACAGTGCCTGACACACAGTAGGTGCTCAATAACTGAACAATGGGTGTGGCAGGCACAGCAGTGGCCAGTGGGACAGACAGTCCATCCTGAGTGGGCCACTTTCATGCAAGTCACCAGTCTCAGTTTTCCCTGTTGTCAAGAAGGAAGAATACAGCTGTCTCCTGATATCCATCAGGGGCTGGTTCTGGGACCCACAAAGACACTTAAATCCAGGGATGCTCGGGACCCATATATAAAATGGCACAGTATTTACATATAACTGACACAACCCTCCTCTACAATTTAAATTTTCTTCTAGATGACTTATAATACCTAATCAAATGCAAATGCTACAACCAGTGGTTGATGCTGTATTGTTTAGGGAATCATGAGGAGAAGAAAAGTTTAGTACAGAAGCAACTTTTTTTTCCTGAATATTTTCCATCTGTGGTTAGTTGAATCCTCAGATACAACCTGTGGGTGTGGAGGGCCGGCTGTAGCGGTTCCTCAGGCCCTGGGCAGCCAGGAGATCCACCAAGACCCTGCATTTGAACCTGCAGCTCTGCAGCTGGCACAGAGACAATACTCTAAGTGGAAAGTTCTTATTAATTCTTAGCTACAGCAGGAGGTCCCTTATGCCCCCAGGAGTATCCCTGCCGGCATGAGAAGCATTGGGACTGACCCATGGTTCTTAAGAATTAGGGACAGAAGTCATCGGGGGAGGGGTAGAGCATGATTTTAGGTGAGACAGAAAGGAGGTATAAGTGACATTAAATTGCAAAGTCAGAAATGGAGTTGCCATCCAATTGTCTTTTTTTTTTTTTTTTTTTGATACCCGGGATTGAACTCAGGAGCACTTGACCACTGAGCGACATCCCCAGCCCTATTTTGTATTTTAGAGACAGGGTCTCACTCAGCTGCTTAGTGCCTCGCCTTTGATGAGGCTGGCTTTGAACTTGCAATCCTCCTTCCTTAGCCTCTGGAGCTGCTGGGCCACCGCTCGGGGCCCAGTTGTCTTTTAATCCTGATTTTGTCAAGTATAAAATTCTCATGATGATATTAATATGATTTTAACACCTAGTCCTCACTGAGCTCACTTTAAATTTTTTTTTCAATTTTAATTTAGATGGAAACAGGACCTTGCGTGTGCTAGGTAAGCGTGCTATCACTAAGCTACACCTCCAGCCCTTTTAACTTTATTTTGTCCAGGCTGGCCTTGAACTTGGGATCCTAAATTGCCCAGGTTGGCTTTGAACTTGTGATCATCCTGCCTCAGCCTCTGAGTAGCTGGGATTATAGTGTGCACCACCACGCTCAGTTGAGTTCACTTTTAAAACCAGAGGAGAGCTGGGCACAGGGGTACATACCTGCAATCCCAGCAGATCGAGAGGCTGAAGCAGGATCTTGAGTTCAAAGCCAGCCTCAGCAATGATGAGGTGCTAAGCAACTCAGTGAGACCCTGTCTCTAAATAAAATACAAAATGGTCTGGGGATGTGGCTCAGTGGTTGAGTACCCCTGAGTTCAATCCCTGATACCAAAACCAAAAACCAGGGCTGGGGTTGTAGCTCAGCGGTAGAGGGCTCGCCTAGCACATGTAAGGCACTGGGTTCGATCCTCCGCACCACCACTAAATAAAAATAAAATAAAAGTTATTGTGTCCACCTACAACTAAAAGACAAACATTAAAACAACAACAACAACAAAAAACCCAGAAGACCGCAGACGCTTTCCACAGGCAACCTGACATGCATTAGCCAAACTATCTGCACTAGCTAATTAAGAGAGGTCCAAAAGGGCCAAGTAGCTGGGGATGTGGCTCAGTTGGTAGAGTGCTTGCCTAGCATGCACCAAGGCTCTAGGTTCAATCCCCAGCACTACCACAAACAAAAACCCAAAGGGCCAAGTGGAGGTGATTTCCAGTGGTCCAACCCAATGAACACCTCACTTTGAGTTCCCTATGAGGTTTATTTTTTCCCTATAACTTTTGAATATGGCCAGGGAGGCCATTCTCTACTCAGGACAGTGATATAAACTTTACTTTTAATGTGATTTTGCTTCAGTAAAAACAAGCAAAAAGTATAAGTCCATTAGGTCAAAGTTATGCAGTCAGTTTGCAGGGCCTCATGTCCAGGGTTTGGTGGACAGGGCGGCAACATGGCAACCTGGGTAAGGATCCTGACTCAGGCATTGCTGGTGTCTTCTCTGAGTCTCAGGATTTCCAGCTGTGAAATTGGAGTAATTATAGTGCACCTACCTCATCAGGCTGTTGAGGATTCCACAAGATGTAGCATGTGGGGCTCTTGGTCCCGGGTGTGGCACCCAGGAGGGGCATGGGTGTGAGTCCTGGGAGTGTGGCCAAGGGAGAGGAGCCACCCCACCTTCGGGCCAAGGATGATGCCAGGTGTCAGGCTCTGGGGGACCCTCCTCTACCAGATCTGGGCTCCAGAGCAAGCTCCTTTGTAGGACTTCCAGGCCAGGAGCCGCCATTACCCCTCCCGGCTCCTGGAATCTCCTGCCTGGTCTCATCTCAGTGTGAATCAACTGTTAACTCGATATTTGGGCAACTGTTTGAATAACGCTGTCCTCCCCAGCTGGGGTTTGGGTGCTAAGGGCAGGGACCCAGCCCAGGGCCTGGTGTTCAACAGCTACTTTCAGAATGAAAGAATGGGGTTTGGATGGGATCCCCGGGTCTCGCCTGCAAATCCAAGGAACAGGGACTCAAGTGCAAACAGGAATCTTTGGGGACAAATTTTGGGCAGGGCCACCCCAAGGATTAAGGGAAGAACAAACTATAAAGTCCTGGAAGGGGATGAGAATTGTTAGAGAGCGACCAATAAAGTCATAATGACTAACTTGGGAAGTCCCATCTGTCACTCATGAGCCCTTGAAAGAATTCCCTCATTTTCTCATTCACAACACCCCCTGCTGGCACATACGTAGAGGGTCCCATTTTACAGAAGGAAACAACTCAGGCACGAGGGAACTAAGCTACTTGCTCAGCATTGACTTTGTGTCCTTCTGGAGCCCCTGATTGAACTTGAACTTGGGAAGCTGTGGTGCCTGTGTTGTAGGGGCTGGGAGGTGGACGGCTGGACACTCTTAAGTCAGAAGTGAAGGGACCCAACTCCAGCAGGGAAATCAGGTCACTCAGGGACAAGCAGGAAGCTGGCCCCGCGGCTGGCCCCGAGTGGGCGGGGGGCGGAGCTGGCGGGTCCCACGCCCCCTCCTCCCGGCCTGACCCTTCCCACCTTCGCCGCCAGTGGCCGCCGCACCTCCGCCCCCATGCATGCTTACCTCCTGACAAGGCCACGGTCAGGGAGGCGATGGCAGCGGCCAGGGGCCACATGGCGGCTCTGGGGTGGGGGGCAGGGCGGGCGGGGCCTGAGAAGAAGTTGAAGGGGGTGTTGCAAAGTGGCCGGGAACCCCCACGTGGGAAATCTTCTCCACGTCCTCCAGCCTTGCACCGCCCCTCCCCTTTCTCTTCGAAAGCTCAGTCTGGAGTCTGCCCCTCCCCCATTCCATCCTTGGGGGGCCGGGGAGCAAGGAGGGAGGGGCGCGTGCGCCCCCTGGGGCTCCTGCCCGCTGCTCCTCGCTGCAGAAGCCACGCCCTTCTTCCCAGCCCTCCAGCGAGTGGGGTCCGCAGGACACTCTCTCCTCTTCCGGGCTCTGACCCCATTCTCCCCTCCCCAGACCGTCCCGACCCCTGGTCTCCAGCTGAGTTTCTGTCTGTCCTGAGCTTCAGTCGCTCCTTCTCTGCAGGTTCCTAGGTCCTCTCCTGCACCTCGCTGATTCAGCTGTTCTCCCGCATCCCCTTCCTTCCGCTCCACTTTGGCCATCCCCCTCTTCCCCTCCGATGTCCCCCCCCCCCACACACACACCGCGACCCTACCTGAGTAAGGGGCCCCGTGAGGAACTTCAGCCGCCAGCAACCTAGAACTTCAGCCCCGACCCATGGCTTTTAACCCCTGAACTCCCTCCCCCAGCTCGCTCAGCATTTCCCGGTGGCTGGCTCCCCTCTCCACCCCCAATGGCTCAGCAGGCTCTCCCTAGGCACCCCCCAGCTTGGGCTTGGCCCTCCGCTTGGGGCGGAGCTTCTAGGACAAGCTGGGACCCAGATCTGGCCCCTCCCAAGCTGGAGATGAACCCACTGTGAACTTTCTGGGCAGCAAGGGGAAGGGGAAAGCCCATTTCCCTCCCCCAAGCCCCTAGCCCAGCCCAGCTTCAAAGGTCTTCACCCATGCCCTAGCCTCCTCCTCCGCGGGTCCACGTGTTAACACATGGCAGCTCCCAGATGGCCAGTTTCTAGCTTACTTCCAAATCTCGACCCCGGTTAACCACACCCTGCACCCTCCACCTCTGGTCTGTCCCTCAGCCCCGATCCCATGGCCAGCTTCACCCCCGCTTGTCTCTCAACAGCAAACCCAACACATCAGATTGCAATTCCCGGTGTCTCCAGCCCCTTTTTCTCTGAAATGCACAGAGATGGCCTTATTTATTCTGTCGGCCCCTCCCCAAGACATGCCCACAGCCATCAGGCACAAGGACTCATGGGTTAGATGGGTAGAAAGTCAACTGCCCTTGGGCTTGCACGGGGGCAGGGACTGGGCCTGGGAAAGCCATTTTGAATAAATGGCCTTTTAGGAGCCGTGGGATGGGGTGAGGGAGTCCATGAAAGGTAGGTGGAGAGAGAGCAGCAGAAATCCTGAGGCTCTGGGGCTGGGATGGGGGTGGGGAAGAGGAAGGAGGAAGGGGTGGTGTTTGGGGATGAGTAGGCGGCTCCAGGAACTGTGGTGGGGTGGGGTTGTGAGTTAATCCCAGGGGGGCGGAGGGGGCAGGATTAGGGATTAAGAAGGATGGAGGTGTCGTCAGGATTTGGACAAAAGCCAAGGATGGGGACCAGGTGAAGTTTGGAAAGAGAGAGCTGGCAGTGTTGTCATCATGGAAATCAAGGGCAGAGACAAATGGCAGAAGGGGATCCCGCCCAAACTGGGGAGTCACACACGGGATGTGGCGATGGAAAGATACTCTTTAAAAAAGGAGTAACTAGGAACATGAAACAGATACAAAATGAACATGTCAAACAAAAACTATATTTTGACTCATTAATAAGTGACTAACCAGCAAAGATGTTACACATCTGGGGGATTAGGAGTGTGAAATGAATTTATAGAGACATGAAAGTGGCTTATTGCACGTGGCGTGGAGGGGAGGAGGGTGATTAGTGGTACTTCTACAGGATGAAGTTCGTTTGCATGGTTTGGGACAGGAATTCTTTGTGTTGCTATCAGCTATCTGCAACTGGAAGTTGCACAGTAGCTCAGAGGCAGTAAAAGATGCAGAAAACCAGGTACCCACAAAACCAGGTAACCCACTTAGTTTTCTAAGGGAGATACCTGTTGGGTCTCTTTCAAAGTCTTTCACTAGGAAGAAAGTCTGGATTAGGCTTCTGGTGGGTCTGGGGGTCAGCCCTGGAATGCCACAGGTCTGGGGGGAGAATGGCCACTGGGTGAGAATGGTTGGGGCTGTAGGTGGTTCTAGAGTTGACTTTGGGGATAGGATTGGGCTGTAGATGGGAGGACAGGGGATAGTGCTGTTGATGGGGTCTGTTGGTCGGGGCTGGATTTGGGGCGGAGGCTGAGGTCCTGGATGGGGAGGTGTTGAGGTGGTTGATCTTGGGCTGTGGGTGTCCAGCGGGGATGAGGATAGACAGGGAGTTGTCCCCCCGGGTAGGTTGTGGTGCCTGTGTAGGGGCCTGGGTCAGAGCTGTGACTTCTGAAGGTGACGGAAAGGCTACTGTCCTCCACACCCTGGACTTCCTCCACCCCACAGGGCAGGGCAGGGCCTTGAGTGGGTGCTGAGCTCATTCCTTCTGAGAGTTGGGGTCAGGTGGGGTGGCAGGAGGGAGGATGCCAGGTGAAGTGAGGTGACACGCTGTGTGGGAAGTCGGGGTACCTGTGCCCTCTTGTGGCCTGGGTCCAGACTTCCAGAGAAGCTTTCTCATTGGGAGGGACTGGAGCCTGGAGTGGGGGCGGCTGGCTTTGGCATTTGCTGAGGGGTGAGTGCCAGGTCACTGTTGATATTAGGGGTTATGATTGGCAGGACTCAGGTTGGCTGGCTGGCGTTGAAGTTAGGTCATGGACCCACCGAGGGCTGGGTTCCTTCCACCTCCTCACTTGATTAACAAGGTGAGAGGAGCCCACAGCTGAAAGTCACACAGGAACTGGACCAAATCCAGGTACGCTTCTCACAGATCCAGGTGTAGAGGGAGCAGGGCTGGAGGAAGAAGGACTAGAAAAAGAGGCAGAGTTCCTAGTGGAGCTCCTGAGTGCAGATGAGGTGGCTGTTCTGGGCCTCAGTGTCCCCATTTGTTAAGCGGCACCATGCATAGCACCTACCTCCTAGAGAAGGGTTAAATGAGTTAATATCTGCAGGTGCTTAGAATGGAGCCTGGCCTCAGCCGAGGGCCACAAGTGAGAAGCCGGAGATGGAGGCAGCCTGAGGTTCCCTGAGGAGGCCCCACCCTAGCTTGGCTTCAGAATGGATTCTTTGTCAAGCAGAAACTGGAAGTTCTGGTTGGAATTGTTGCCTGGGTCCAGAAAGTCAGCCCCACACCCAGGCCCAGAGGAGGGGCCCCCATGCAAACATGGAGGGAGGGGAGACAAAGAGAGACAGGAAGGATAAACAGGGCCACCGGGAGAGGACAGACAGACAGAGACACCCAGACAGACAGCAGCACAGAGCGTGGAAGGCAGAGAACCGGGGGACAGCAGATTCTTGGAGGGATGGAGGCACAAGGTCAGAGACCAATGCATTCTTCTGTAGAGCTGGGTTTGTGGTGTCCCTCGGGATGCCAACGCCGTCACCACTTGTCCCAGTGCAGCCACTGGCCACTCTTCTCCCATGAGAATAGCAAAAGTCAGAAGAGTCTGTCTGGCCACCCCTCACACCTGTGCCCACGTCCTCTGCCTCCTCTCCTTTCTCTAGGTGACCAGCCTGCGCCCCTGCCACGGAGGGAGCCCCTCCGCCTCGCTGGGTGTCCGTCCCTCCTGACCTTTCCGGGGCCTCGTGCCAGCCTGGTTCCTAGCAAGTCCTCCCTCCTGCTAGTGTCACCAATTATTTTCTTCCCTCGTGAGTTGTCCCCACAGAAACATGCTACGATTCCTCCCACATTTCACCCAAAGGACAATAATCACCATTAAAAAAAAGGATCGCCTTCTCTCTGCCCTCATGCCTGCTCTGCTCTGGGCTGCTCTCCTCCTGACAGTTGGCCACACGCCCTGGCTGCAGTCCTCTCCCCCGTTCCTCCCTTGAGGCCGCTCTCTGGGGGCTCTAGCAGCCGTACCCTGTGAAGGGCACAGGCGGCCTCCGGGCTGCTGAGTCCGACGGCCAGCGCTTGGGGGTTCCTCTTACTTGAGGATCAGCAGCTTAGCCCCTGGCTCCCTGCCTGCTCCCCCAGAGAGCTGCTCTTTTCCTCCCAGTTCACCGGCTGCTCCTCCTGGGTGCCTGGCGCTGGTGTCTCCGGGTCCCCTTTCCACCTGGCGGGGCGCCCCAGTGCTGGCTCCTGGGCCTCTTCTCTCTTCGGTCCTCGCTGACTCCCTCAGTGATCTCATCTGGTCCCGTGGCTTTAAATGCCATCACCTGCTGACGACTCCCAAACTTAAGGTCTCCAGACAGACCTTCTCTTGAACTTCATGTCCAGCTGCCTGCTCAACATCTCCATGCTCAAAACCGGACCTCGGTCCTCCACCCCTCAAGGGCCAGACGTGCGTTCCTTGTGGCCTTGGTCTTGCCAGGAGAGGGTCACGCCATGTTTTCAACTTGGCCAAACATCTTGGTCGCACCCTTGAGTTCCTCTTCTCGTGTCCCCAATCCATATTGTTACTAAGTCCTGTTGGCTCCACCTCCAAGACAGGTCCAGGGTGGAACCGTTGCTCCCCATGGTCCATCCTTGTCCCCTTCCGACTACCCTCGCCCCGCAGGCTGGATCCCCACATGTCTCCTGTTGGGTCTCTGGGCTCCTGTCCCCATCTTCCCATATTTTATTTTCAGCAGAGCAGTTAGTGTGGCCTTGTAAAATGCCAGTCAGAGCAGGTCACTGCTGTTCTCAAAATCCTCCACTTGTGATGACAGTCGCGTCTCCTTACGGCGGCATCTGGCCCCAATACTCCCGATGTCACCGTCTACCCTTCCTCCCCTCCTGCCCTCTCATGCCAGGCACGCCCCATCTTGGAACTTTCGTACCTGGGGCCCACATGGCTTCTTCTTGTCATCGTCTCCATGAAGACTCTGACCACTGTGGTCAGGGGTCCCCAGAACAGTTTCAACGATTTGCTAGAAGGAATCACAGAGCTCAGAAAAAACCTGTTAT